TTAACACCAGCTGTTCACAAGAGCAGTTCACAACAAGCTGTGGATCACTTTGTCTACTGAGAATGAAGTTCTATGTGAGGCTTTGTCCCTGGGAAGTGTGCTTAGAATTGTGGCCTGCAGGGGCATCAGTTTGTGCTCTGACAGTGCCCTCATTTAAAATCACCACACTAGGCCATGAGGGCTTAAAGCCTTCTGGACAGAAGCAAATAGGCTAGTCTAAATGTTCCCTACCCAGGCTCCCTAAGCAGGTGAGAAACGTGTAAAATAGATACGTTGAATGTGCATTAAATGCTATGTTTGTGTGCATTGTGTATGAAAGTGGTTTGCATTTGCAGCATGTCTGTTTTGCAGAGAACTGTAGCCACAGGGACCATATAACACTGGTCCTGAAAAACCTACATTGGCGCCCAGTACATTTCCGGGCACAATTCAAAGTGTTGGTGCTGACCTTTAAAGCCCTAAACTGTCTTCACCCAGTATACCTGAAGGAGTGTCTCCACCCCCATCATTCAGCACCGAGGTCCAGCGCCGAGGGCCTTCTGGCAGTTCCCTCACTGTGAGAAGTTAGGTTACAGGGAACCAGACAGAAGGCCTTCTCAGTAGTCACGCCTGCCCTGTGGAACACCCTCCCATCAAATGTCAAGGAGATAAACAACCATATAACTTTTAGAAGACATTTAAAGCCAAGCCCTGTATCAGGAAGTTTTTAATGTTTGATGTTTTGGTGCGCATTTTTATATTTTGCTGGAAGCTACACAGAGTGGCTCGGGCAATCCAGTCAGATGTGTGGCATAACAACAACAACCTGCAGGACCCAGGCTTGCTGGTATCTAGAGGAGGTTAGTACAGGAGGCAGGGGACCCAAACGGCACTCACTCAACCTCCATCTTGCCAACTAAAAATGGCTGTCCGAGTTGTGACCTTTAGATCCCTGAAGAGCACAAAAACATGCCTAACATAACCAATGGCTGATTCACACAACCTTTTGGCAGGTGTTCTGCCCCACAAGGGCTAGTTGTTTAGTGATAGCAAACCTGTGTATTGCAAGATGCCCACGGTCGAGGCAGCATGCCTCTGAATTCTAGCTGGTGGGAATCACAAGTGCAAGAGTGCTGTTGTGCTCAGGCCTTTTTGTGGGTTTCCCATGAGCATCTGGGGTTGGCCAGCCTGAGAGCAGGATGCTGAACTAGATGGGCCTATGGCCTCATCCTGCAGGGCTTTTCTTATCATACACTTATGTTCTACTCTTCTTCAATTGTGGCTGCTGGGCTACAGTCATATCCGTTGGCATGCAATGTGTCGGTTAGCCCTGAGGACATTGGCCTGGTGCTCTAAGATTCCCTTAGACATTTGGGTTTAATTGTTGTGATTCTGCATCCTGCCAGGAGAAACAGAACAGATATTAATTGCTTTTCATATAACATACTCTGCACATATCTTTACTATTTTATTCTTCGACAAGATACAGCAGTGCTTCTTCTTTTCCACTCTCTCTGAATGTTTGCAATAAATCCACTGGCTTTGGTAAGGTTTCTATGGACACAAGGCTTTTTAGAAGAATTTGTTACACTCAAGTAATTATGTTTTATATCACATTATCCATTAGCTGTAACCTGGCAGTTGCATCCATCATAATATGCTGTTTCAGAGAAACGGATGAATGACTTATCCCCCTTTGAGAGGCCTGGCACAATTTCTTGCTACTGAGCTGGGTTTTTTAAAAAAATTATTATGTAGGACAAGTACAAAATAGTACTTGAGGTCACATTTATGATACAGACGAGTAGAATGTCTCCAGTGTGTTTTAATCTGGTTTTTAGCTTATTGTTGATTTTAATTATTTTTGAATGTTTTAAATAAATTGAATTGTTTTTAACAGGGTTTTTTTAAAAAAAATTACTGATAATTTTTTTTTTTGTAAACCACTTTGAGGTGTTATTACAATCAAGCGGCATTTAAAGGTTGCTAAACAAACAAACAAAACTGGTCCCAAAACCAGTTTCTCTGACCTAGCTGCCTCCACAGAACCCTGGAATTGTTGCTGCTGTTGTTTTCAAGGGTGCTGAGGATGCTTTGCTTCAGATACTTTTCAGAAAACCATAATTCCAAGTCCCTAAGCAGGAAAATGTGAAATGCAAACCAGTTCGCGTCCGGTTTAATTTTATGGAGTTGGGGAAACAGCAAGCGCAGATGAGTGAGCAGGCTTGTAGTTACATCCCATTCTTGGGTTTGGCCCTGGGAAGAAATCCCCATGGACACCAGTGAGATTCCCACCCCCTTCCCACTGCAAATAGCCACTTTGAAAGAAAGATTTTCATCTGGACCACAGGCGGGGAGGAAAAGGTTAAACTCTTCCTCTTTGGCTGCGGTGCAATTATCAGCATCCTCCAGCAGCTGCTACTTGCATTTTAGTAGAGAGAGCCAGTGTGGTGTAGTGGTTAAGAGCGGTAGTCTCGTAATCTGGGGAACTGGGTTTGTGTCTCCGCTCCTCCACATGCAGCTGCTGGGTGACCTTGGGCCAGTCACACTTCTCTGAAGTCTCTCAGCCCCACTCACCTCACAGAGTGTTTGTTGTGGGGGAGGAAGGGAAAGGAGAATGTTAGCCGCTTTGAGACTCCTGAAGGGGAGTGAAAGGCGGGATATCAAATCCAAACTCTCTTCTTCTTCTTCTTCTTCTTCTTAGTAAATGTGCATGCTGAATGCACATTGCCCTCAACCCCTTAGCCTTTATGCTACACCCCCTCCACTTTCCTGCAGCCTACTGTTTGGTGTGCTTGCCGGAGTCTCCTTGGAGCTCATTCCTTGGTGTGCTCATTTCCAGCTCTGTGATTGCGGCTTTAGTTTAGCGGCAGAGCATGCAGTTTGCATGCAAAAGGTTCCAGGTTCAATGCCTGGGAAAGACTCCTGTCTGAAGCCCTAGAGAGGTCCTGCCCGCCCGTGGGTAGGCAATTTTGAACTAATTGGACCACTGTCGTGATCCGGCATGAGGCAGCTCTTTGTGTACCTGTCGTATGGATTGGTCTGCAGGAGGTGGCTGGCTGGACAGATTAACCTGCTTTGCAGCAGAGTTCTGGCCTTGGTGGCCTTATGCTTCTTTCCCTTTCTGTTGTTTTATTTATCTATCTGAAGCATGTTTACCGTGCTCTTCAGCCTAAGGGGTGCACAAATGTCACGAAAAGACAGGCCCAGCCCTCAGGCCTTCAGTTTAAAAGTCATGACACAAAAGGAAAATGGAGGGAGGGAGGGCAAGCAAACTATTTCTCATTTCCAGAGTTATTGTAATAAGCAGCCAGCATGGAAAGATTTCCAGAAGAGGATAAGTCATAAGTTGCTGGTCTTTCAGCAGAACAAATGGAGAGACCTTTGGTGGTTTGGCTCCTTGGAAGAGAGGGAGGATATAAATCTAATAAGTAGGTGAAATTAAATTTGCAAGTTGGCCATGCAGACCACACAGTCTATATATGCACTGTAGTGTAGATTTCTGGGGATATATGTGAAGACCCCGCATTTCCACACAACTGTGCAGAAAAGTTTAGAAGTACATTAACAGCATTGCTGAACCTTCTCAGAATCTATGTGCGGGTTTGCTTTTAGCGATACAACAAGGCAGCAATTTTACTTATTTATTGCATTCGCATAGGTGGCTGCACTTAATTATTCCCTTTCTGTTAATGAAAAGAACACGCAAGGTGGCATTATTTATCAGCTATTTCTGTGACACTTTTACTGTGCAGAGTACTTTACAGCCCTTATTCGCAGAGCATCATGCTGCAACGAGATGAATTAAAAAAGATTTATAAGCATAATGCTGCCTGTGCTGCAATAATGATAATCTAGGAAGCCAGGGAGATGGAACAGTGAAAGGATGCCATTTGAGCAAAGAAACAGCACGAAATGGGGGGGAACAAAAGGAATGCGGAATCCATCCTCATCTGTGTAAACGCAGGGATCTGGAATAACCTGAGCGCGCTCACGAGACTCCCGTAGAGAGCAGAGGTGACAGGATTTGTCCTGCAGGGATATATCGGGAAAAATAGTTTACAGATAGCAGCTGTGATTTCATTTAATGAGCAGCTCCTCCTCCTCCAATGAACTAATGAATAGATGGGATCTATGTGTAATCTTTTCTTACTGTGTCAACCCTGATTATCCCTGGTGAGACACCGCAGCTCAGCCCCAATTGTCAATCAACCCCCCCACCCCCATATTACTGTTGCCAACTCTATTATGCGGGGCGCAGAGTGAGGCACTGCTAGAAACAGGCACCTGCTATATAGCTTCTTGGGCGAGCTCGGGAAAGCAAATCAGTAAGGATCTGTTCCATATGCGGCGGCTGAGAGTGACAGCACATCCACCGCTTCTCCTCCCCAGCTGAGCCTCCTCACAATTACCTCACGCGACCCTGTCAGTTTCCTGCTCTGCCGAGATGCAACAAGGTTATTAAGCAAATATGATTAATGAAGGGGGATAAAAATAAAATAAAAAACTCTGGCGTGCTAGAAATTAGGTTTCAAGGCCAGCAGGGAACTAGAGAAATTCTCTACGTGTACCTTTGGAAGTTGTGGCAGGCGTCTGCGGTGAACAGGATTTGTATATGCCACCCGAGGGGTCAAAATAATTCCAGGCGCTCTTGCTCAGAAGAAAAAAAAACACCCCCCACACAGTAGGATGGATCTGGCCCATTAAAATATGATCGCGTTATTAATACAGCCTTTGAAAAATGGGAATAAGTGAACGCAACTGCTACTGAATGTATTCCTGCGGTAATTTCAGAGTAACCTGGTTCACAATCCCCCCCCCCTTATCCACATGCAGCGTTCCAGTGACTTACTTCGATTTGCTCTGTTTTAATAGCATTCCGTATGCAAATAGGGGCTATTCCAGTAGAAGCGAAAATGATCTGGCTACCTCATACTTCATTTTGCTGTTTTTATCTAGGTTTATGTGTCTTTATTTTCAGGTCCGTTCAGGTTTATTAATAGTCCACAGACCTGCATGTTCCAAAACAATTCTTTTTATTCCATACAATGGAAACATAAGAATACAGAAAGGCTCACTGTAACAATGTGTTCTTCACTGATTTAAAAATGCTGATTAAAAACCCCAGCACCCGTTAGCAATTCTGTGAAAGTTGCTTACAGATGTTACAGAGGTGAGAATACGAAGTTTGCAAGTCAATGACCAGGAAGGCTATCACATACTATTCTGGAGAACTTCCTAGAAAGGACAAATAAGTCTAGTTCCTTTGTCTCTATGACAATTGCACAATAGAAACAAGTGTAGCATCGTTTTCCACTACCAAAAGTGGAAACCAAAAGTGATTCACATATGGGTCACATCCACAATGTGTATGTAAAGCATTTAAATATAAAGCATGTCATGGCTTCCCACAAATAGTCCTGGGAACTGTAGTTTGTTAAGGGTGCTAAGAGTTCTTAGGAGACCCCTCACAGAGCTGTGATTTCCAGCACCCTTAACAAAGGACGGTTCTCAGGACTCTTTGGGGGGAACTCATGGCCGCTAAAGTGGCATAAGAGTGCCTTAAATATATGGAATGGCATTAAATTTTCCTTCCACCAATAGTGAGGTGCAGAGAAACAGCTGCTTCAAGGGGTGGAAATCCCCGAGACAGTGCTTCTGAGGGGGCCCCGCTTGCTCATGGAAGCAGTGCTGGAATCAGCGCCAATTTCCACCAAGATCTTGCAGCAGAGGCAGTGCGGCAGAGTGGAGTGGCACTTCCAGTCCCATACTGCCCCTTGCAAGGGTGTTGCCTTTGCTGAATCTCCCCCTTCCCAACTCGCGGCAAGGCTTCTGGCAAAAATGGGTGGAATTTGCAGGCACTGGGCCCCCTGCAGAGTGGGTTAAGCCTGCCAGATTGGAGACAAATAGGTCCAGAGGCTCTTATGGGGAAAGTAAGAAGGATTCACTCTCATCCCTAATCCATATTAGGCCAATACCTTTATTAGGCCAACTCAAACTCCAAAAAGTCCATATTCGTATCATATTTCAAGAAGGAGAAGAGAGTGGGAATATGTCTCTTTCTTACCTTAAAACAATTTAGAGGTGGAGTTTGAAGCACAGCAGTAGATACTTTCAAAAAATCAAAAATCAAAGGAAGCTTTTTTTGGAGTGTGTGTGTGGAATCCTGCACTGTTCTGCTTTAAGAATAACAAAACCACCCTAACTCTTGTGTGTTCCTCAGTCATCATTTAAAGAGCCTCACTTCTTGTTTTTGATTTTTTGTTTTTTAAAAAACACATGAACCCAGATACAGGCGGAAAAACATAGGGCTCCAGTGGACAGAAATGAAGACATGGCAGGAAAGACGCAAGACGTTGTGAGAGTCCTGATCTGGTTTGAGGTGCTTAGCTGCCTTCACATTTCGACTCAAAGAGGGATAAAATCACCATCCTTTTTGATAGGCAGTAAAAGTTTGGAACAGGAGCAGATGGAGTAAGGGGCTCCAGGAGCTGGCACAAGGATTGAGCTCAGTATGTAGAAGAGAGAAAGGAGTTAGATAAGGGGAAGAACAAAGAGTCCCAGAAGGAGAGAGAGAGAGAGAAAGAGAGAGAGAGAGAGAGAGAGAGAGAGAGAGAGAGAGAGATTGTTGACAGTGGCAGCATCTCAGGCGGCAGACGCAATATGGACACTGAGAATCAAGTAGGAGTCTTGGCAAAAGTAACCAGAAGCTTTGCTGAGAGCACTTTTAGTAAAAGGGAACCAGCAATTGCTAGTTTGTGGTGAACAGGGAAAGACAAAGACAAAAAGAAAGAGCAAGGGGCATAGAATACAGGTGAGAAGGCAAGAAATGAGGAGAAGGGCAACTTAAGCCATTTAAAAGCACAAATTAAGTACTGATCACTTTGGTGCAACCCATACATAGGATTCTACTGGTTTTCGATAGGTCTTGGGCAACCGGGCACTTCTGAAAGTGAGTCCTTGAACACAAAGGCACACACTGACCCCAAATCGAACAAACCTTCTTGGCCACAGCAACTCAACAGTTCAGCTGAAATGGCACTGATTTATGGACTTAACCCTACTGCCCCCTGTATGGGGTTGTAGCCAGTATCTGCAGAACAATGATACAAACACTAGGCTGCTATTCTGCATGTCAGTAAAGGGCAATTGCTGACAATTTCTGCAAAATGTAGAAGTTTAAAAGGTAGGTGTGTTTGTGGGAGAGAGAGAGATTTTCTAGCTACATTCAGAGGGTGCCTTTCCTCAGCCCAGAGGCTCCAGCTACATCCTTGCCTTCTCTTAATGTAGTTCTGAATCTGCTCCAGCTGGGAGGAGGGGAAAAAGTGTCTGTACAACAGATCTGAGAACACATTGCGCCCATTTGGGAGAGGGTGGGGTGCTTAGGAGTCAGCCTGTCTGACTCTTCTAGCCCTGAGAACGAACATAAAGGATTTTCATGGTTTGGGAAGAGACGACCACGACGCACTTCCTCACAAGAAAGGGCTTGGTGGGGGGGGACACATGGCCGATGAATTTGTCACATGGATCATTATTCATAGTTCGTTTTTAGAGAATCTTTAAGGAAATAGCTTTTTATCATTTTCATTTCAATAGCGCTCTCACAAGAGCTCAGGAAAGATTGATTTGGACATGCCTGCCTGTTTAAGGGCAATAAATTTCATCCCTGCAGATTGAGCAGACTTCCTTAGCATTTATTTTTACAGGAATAAAGAGCGTGGGCTGTGGGGAGAATATTGCGCAGCTCATTGCCTTGTAGTGTGGCTTGGGGTGCAAAGCACCAGACACTCTACTGCTGACGCAGAAAGCCTCCGTGATGTTTTTCCCCCCCAAGGGGGCAGAGTTTCTCACACAAGACCTATTTAAATGAAGGAGGGCTGCGCGGCATTAGCACTTGGTGGGTTGCCGGTGGTAATCTTAACAGAGTGGCATTTGCGTCCAAACTGAAATTACACACAGGCAGATGAGCAGACACATGGCTTCATCCAGCCCAGCAGAGGCTGTTCATGGTCTCACACAGGAGCCTTTCTCAGGCTTTTGAAGTGAAGGGTACTGGGGACCGGACCCGGAACCTGAATGCAAGCTAAGGACTCTCTCCTTTCTGTGTGCCATAATCAGTGGTGTAGCGTGGGTTGCCAGCACCCAGAGCCACGCGGAAGGGTTGGGTGGGAGGGAGGGAAAGAGAGTACGCATGTGCATTCAACTGCCTAACATCACCCAGGAGATAGCAGCTGCAGAGATAAGAAAAGAAGAGTTGTCCCATTGTCTGGAGAGGTCACTTCCTGGTTTGCACGGAGAAGCTGTTTTCAACAAAGCCCAGTGACGGAAGTGCGCATCTGTATTGAGACAGAACCTGCTCCTCACAAATTTGTGCCTGGGGAAACCACCCTTCTGCTCCCCCTACGCTACACCACTGCCCATAATCACAAGGGCCAAACTAGGCTAGCCATCATCGGCTCTCTTGACATGTCGCCTTTCCCCCCTTAAAAGCACCCATAAGCTGGCCCTCCACACACATGCACCTCTGGATCAGGGCTATGGAAGAAGGGCTTAATTCTTTCTCTTGACTCCAAGTCCCACCCCATAAAGCTGCTCTTCAAACCACACCATCACAGGAACAAGGGTTTGCAGCCACTGACTGGTGGTGCCTGCAAATCCCACTCCCTTTGCCAGGGTGGTTTGAAATCAAACTACATAGGCAAAGGCACAGGGGTTTTTTAAGGACCCTTGACTGGCCTATAAACTTCTGGCACGGAGCTGTGTCTTCACCTGCAGGTGGTGTGGCTTAAGGAAAACTGCCACGTTGGCCAAATTAGGACAGTCATAAATTACGGCTGCAGGCTGGTGGTTCCTCAACACTGCATTACACTGAGGCATTGTGGGAAATGTAAAACGCTGGGTGGCTTGTAACCACCGGCTACAAATCACAGCATGGTGCCATTCTCTGCCATTGTGAATATTAGGAAGATTGCTGTCCCCAATCCATCCTGCAGACATTCAGGAAGGACTCACAAGATGGTATGGGCCCCCTCCAACCTAACTGGACCATGTTCTCCTTTCTTGCTCTGTCTACTCTGCATAAGCTAGCCTTCTTGCACTCCCTTGTTTTTTATACATTTTGCACACTTAGGACACTTTTGGGCAGCCACAATTAAAAAGGACCACATTATCTAAAATAATAAACTAACTTGCTCATTAAAAAAACAACCAGTGTCAAAAGCTTTATATAAATCAAGCAGGGAGTTGGACTTGATGACCTTTGGGATCCCTTCCAGTTCTACAACTCTATGATTCTATGAAGAACCGGTAGGATGCAGAGAGGCTATGCTGGAGGGGAGGGATGGAAATTCTAGTCCAAGACCAAGTTGAGGAAGTCTGTAGTGCTCTGATGGCAGAGGTGAGTGGAGAGACCACTCTGAGGTGGGAGTTCTTTGCCTGGAGTAAGATAACAAAAGAACCCTCGAGGAAGAGGACATAAGTGAAAAGTTACAGAAGGGCCCGGGACTTCAGGTGCGTTAAAACAGAGAAGTAGCATCTTTCCCATCACCTTTGAGCCACCACCTGCTTTTGTCTAACAACAATCTCCGTTAATTGGGTAGTTAATCTAATTATCTAATTAGGCAGAATTGCTATTAGCAATTAAGGCTCAGCACTGTGCCTGAGCGCAGACGGCACCTTCCCTTCTGGGCCTTCAGAGGAGAAACAAGGCAGCGATACAACCCCATTCTTCTTCATTACTTTTTTGGATTTGTAAATGGAAACACCTGTAAACTGCACATGCATCCATGCAGTCTGCTTGAATGAAGTGGAAGCAGCCAATAGCGAACAGGGAAGAGTTTTCATTCAGAAGATCAATTGGAAATCTGCTGTCTATTAGCATCCTATGAATGGAAGCTTTCGTCCATCCTAGCTGCTTCCCAACACAGCCAGGGGAAGTGTGCTCTTAGCGGTGCACTGCAGCCTTTGCACAATGCGCCTAGTGCTGTATCAAAACCTGACTGAAAAGCACAAACCAATTGAAAACAGTGATGACCTGAGAGTTTTGTTGGACCTTGGCTGAGAGCCAGGGTGGCTGGCTGGAGTCCTGGGTGCATGGATTGTGTACTGTAAAAAAAAGAAGAAAGAAAAAAAGCCACACAAACCCCTCTGGTCGTCAGGAAAGACCTCAGAAGACACACTATTATCCTAGACAAATTTCAAAGGCAACTGGAGATATGACAGGCTTTTGTTGGAAGGAAGATCCAAAGCCCAGGCAGAGCCCATGGAGAGACCTTCTCCCTGATCCCAACTAAGGCTGTTTCTAGGGGAGGTTAGGACACACAGGGGGCCTCTCAAGATGATCACAATAGATAGGTAGCCTTAACGAGAAATGGCACTCCTTCCCAGGCCAGAGGTTCCCTGCCACTCAATTACAAGAGCAGCTTTTCTCTCCTAAATTGGATTCTCCAAGTTCTAACAGAATGTATCTTTACTGTTCCCACATGTGCTTAGATTAAGGTTTGGGGTTAAAACAAGGATGGGATTCAAATGTAAATGCCCAAGCGCATAGAACAGTGAGAGAACCACGCTGAATGTCACCTTCCATGTCACAGTTTATGACATGTAAATGCTCCTGCAAGGCACTCTCGTTATCTGACGTATCTTATTGGGAAGCTTATTAGGTGCAATTAAGCCTAAGTCAGACATATGCACTGTCAGGCCAGAGCCACTTTGGGAGCCCGGAAGCATCAATGTTTTAGAGAGCAGAGCTGCTGAAACTCTTAATTAGCCAGCCCATAAGACGAATCTAACCTTTCTCTAATTCCTGAATTTATAGCGAGGCCTGACTGGGCCCAAATTGTAATTAAAAATGAGTTTATGAAGTTAACTTCGGTGGCTCCAGGTAGACCCTGAAACTTTGCAAACAAAGCAGATTTGGGGCCTCTGGCAAGTGTGTGACGGAGGCAGAGGGGCCGGAGACTGACCCAGGAGAAGGGGCCAGTGATTTATGGGGTTTGGGGCCACCTGCAAGGCAGGAGTCAGGGAAGGGGAAGGGTCTGAGTAGTCATCTGTGGGAGCACAGAATGTGTTGGAGGCAGAGGAAGAAGCTGTTCAGTCAATTGGTTGAATTCCCGCCGTCCCCTGCCCTGTTGCGTCCTCGAACCAGGAAGGACTTGAAGAGGGAAGCGAAGTGACAGCTTCCATACAGGAGAAGTCTCAGGTTGTGTATGCACATAACATCAGGTGAGGGTACATAAGCCTGGAGGCGGGGGGGGGGGGCGCAGGGTGGCGGCTGGCCCCACTGTTGCTTCAACTGCTCTGCCAGGCACAAACCTGGAAAAGTTAATGCCGTCTCCATAGAAGCTAGAAGCATGTGTATCCGGTGCATCTCAGGAGCTGCTGTAAATGCGTGCTTTTGTCAGTAAAAAATTAACTATCAGCTGTTTGCCTTACTTGGCTGGGTGTGCACAGGGCAGCAGACATGGCGATGCCCAGGCACAGAACGATGCACAATGTGGTGATGCAAAGGGCAGGTGGGAGGGCTGAAGGTGAAGATGCAATGGCGGAAAAGAGATTATAGAATTGTAGGGTTGGATGGGACCCAAAGGGTCATCCAGCCCAACCACCACAGCGAAAGAATCCCTGACAGATGGTCGTCCAGCTTCTGTTTTTAAAAGAACAGTTTTGAAGCAGAAAAACCTGAGTTTGCCATTCATTCTCTTCACACTGTACTACAGAAGCTCTTGGGTCGTAGTGCTAACCACCGGAAGCATAACACTTCATCTTTTAAAAACATGTGTCTGGAATAGGTGGCTGATAAGAGAACACGCCAGCGGAAATTTCTGACTGGCCGACGATCTTTGTAGCTTGTGGACTTTTGAGGAAATCATGCTTTGCTCCTTGGAACAATGAACACAGCCCTTAGGTTGTAACTGTGCCAAAGGTTTTCGTTTGCTTACACTTGCCCGCTGTTCCTTGTTATCCACGCACAGCATGCCTTGTGAGCTTTAAAGTCTGTAACTTTGCTTACAGTATATACATATTTTCCTCTGTCCTGATTACCGTGCTGTTTCTTCAGATGGGAAGGTGACTGGGCTTAATCAACTCCAGAATCCAGAACTGCAGTATAATGCTATTGTCCTAGGGAGAAAAAGACGAAGACATACGAATGGGCTTGGAAGTTAAGGGGGTGCTGGAGAAATTGGCACCTTGGCCATAACTTGAGCAGGCCCTTAGCCTACAGTGGGCCCAGGAGCGATGTAAAAGCCTTTCTTTTTCTTCTCCTGGCTTGCTTGACAACGCTTCTGAGATATATATATATATATATATATATATATATGCAGTATTATGCTGCAAAAATATTTTTGCAGTATTATATTTGGGCTTTGTCTATGTTCTCATCTTAAATCTCATATTAAGGTGTTTATTACCCTGTTGTGAATATTCCTGTCTGGCTGAAACTTGGCAAGCGCCTGCAAGCTTGGCACTGCACTTGTTAATACGAAAATTCAGTTAGACAAGCTGGAAAGGGATCTAGGAAGCGTGTGCCAAATCTTCAACTTCTGCAGCTTCTTTGGTCAACTATGGAAAATAGGAGAAGAGGGATATTTCCCTGTGAGGAATGGGAAATAGCAGGAGGAGACATAAAAGAGGAGGGGTTGGAAATTAATAAAGCCAAACCTTGTTTCAGTTAAGCTGTGTGTATATGTACTTTAAAGCATATCTCGAGCAAGGACATTCTAACCAAGTACTATTGGTATCAGTCTTGACCTGTAATAACACCCACCCTGCCCCCCCCAGCACAAGTTTTGCCAGACTTTTTAACACCTTGCATTTAGTCATTGTTGAATTTCCTTTGAAACGGGTAGCAATCTTCCTTTGCAAGGGGTGAACAGGAACCTACAACCTCCCACATCATACCTATTCCAGTCACTCGTGATGTACAGACAGAAGGCTGCTTTGCTGGAACTGGATCAGTGCTAGCTGGTACATTAAAGGGGGGGGGGGATGCAGATGGAGTGATCTTTGGCTGTGGGAGATGCATCTCGGAAGGCTAGCTGTGATCCAATGAGTCTTGCTGATTTCCATGGGTTAAACTAATCATTACAGTGTCAGTCATGCATCTGGCTGGCCAGTTATAAACAGAATGGCCAGTCACGCATTGCTAAAAAAGAGAATTTGCATCACCAAAAAGAGAGAGGATGAGTTCACACCAATTTGCATACAATATGTGCAAATTTAGAAACCATTGCTGCCGTTTAAATAGAAATACAAGATATAGCTTGCTGTAATAGAAAAGACACCAAATGAGTCGTGTGCTTGCTCAGTCTGGCGGTGGAGTGTTGCTAACAGCTGCTGGGCACTTCAAGACTCCTTTTTTTTAGTGTTCCTGATTTTCAAACAGGACTTGATTATTATCAATCCTCAATCAATCAATCAATCAATCAATCCTTAAGCAGAAGAAACCTTCAAAATGGAAAGCTGTCCTCTAGAGTAGGACATACAGCCACCCTAATTATAAAAGCGGTGAGTAGATCTGACTTCAATATCTAAAGGCAGCACATTTAGAGGATATACCCGGCCACTATTTTGTTTTGCTGGAGGACAATTTAGCAACTGCTGTCTGAGGCATGGCCCACACCAGGGGTCAGCAACCTAAGGCCCATGGGCTGGAAGTGGCCCGCAGAGGTCGTTTGACCGGCCCACGAGCCACCCCTAAACTGAGCTGCCCGCTCACGCGCTGTGCTAAACCAGCGCAGCGCAGTGCAGGGACTTGCTTCTGCGGTGCCAAAAATTGCATCTGCGCAGACACAGAAAATCTCGTCTGCGCATGCGCAGACGCTGAAAATTGTGGGTGTGAGCTTTCATGCGCACACACAATGTGGCCCACAGAGGGATCTCAGTGGAACTGATCTGCCCCAGGCAAGAGAAACCTTGCTGACCCCTGGCCCACACCAATAAGATGAAGCAGAATACCAGGGGGTTCATCCTGCAAGCAGCTGCTGAAAGCATTTGCTGAAATTTAGAACTGCAAGTTTGGGCACAGCTACTGACATTTCAAAACCGTTTTAGGAGAGTGCTTCGGCAAGGAGCACTTTACATTGTGAGTAACATCAAAGTTTCATTGAGAGAGCTGAGCGAAGAGCCTCTGCGATTGTGTTCCTATCTTGTTTTCAGCCGGCTGAACTGTGTGGTGGAGTCCCACAAGGCTCTACCTCGCTCCCCTTTAGTACTGTACTTTATCCAACATTTATTCTGTTTTAGCATTTTTGCTCCCAGGTATCATTGCTATGGAGATATTTCTCAGACCCATTTATCATTTTCCACTTACCCAGTTGCAGCAATCTATACGCTGTCTTGGTGTCGATCTACACTGAGAGCTTGACTGTCCTACAAATTGTTCAGAGCTCAAAGGCCAAGATAGTTTTTCTTGGTTGCCGGCATCTGCTGGGAGAGGGAGGAGTCAGAGCGCTTTGTTGTTTCTGTGGATAATAATCAATAAGACCCATTAGTGAGACAACTACATACATCACTAAACTTTGACCTATGATCCCCAGAGCAGTCCCAAGGTACCTATTCATATACTGGCGACATCCAGCCTGCACTATTGCAAATCCAGTAAAAAAGAGATCACAAATTTGCATTACTGTGCCTTTAGCATCCACAGAACAGCACAGTCCAAAGTGTATGTGCTTGTATGCTTCTGAGTGCAAAAGATTCATATTTTAACTTATGGAAGTATAACTTAGGCTAAGTCTAAAAACAAGCCATAAAACGTAAGAATTGCCTTGTTGGGTCAGATCAAGGGTCACCTCGTCGGATATTCTATTTCCAGCAATGGCTAGTCAGACGCCTCTGAAGCCCCCAGGCCAAATTATGATGGCAATGGCTTGCTTCTTACTCGTCTTCAACATCTGGCATGGAGGTATACTGCCTCTGAACAAGGAGTTCTTCTGTCAAATAGCCATCAAAAGACCACTTTCCCATAAACTTGTCTATAGCATTCCTTGCAACATAATCCTGTCCTCGGATTACTCCCTGCTGTTCAACACCTGCATTAAGATGCCAAATGATGTCATCCAGACTCTTGGGATGAGATGTCATAAGTAAGCTGATGGTCTCCAGTATGCTAATGAAATAGACACAATGAGAGGTTCCTTTGGGTGTGGCAAGGTGAGAGCAGTAAAGCAAATCTTCCAGTCAAAAGATTAGATGTGCACAGAGGCTGTTGAACAACGTGGAAAAAATGAGCTCACTGAAGCTCTGTTTAATCAGCTGGTTTTATCAGTTGTCAAAAACACTTTGCAACGACCCTGTTAATTATAGTTTGTTCACTGCTTCTGCATTTAAATGGGGGCTATGGCACACTGTGATTCTGTAAGAGTTCCTTTGGAGCATGACTCCTTCAAAGGGCACTGCCTCCAAGCACACTTACAATTCTGTGAATGGAGAACTGCACCACATGCCCATATTACTGATAAAAAACACTTGGGGTGGAGGTGAGTGCTGGTTGGCTTCGGTCCTGTGACACATACTAAGAATGCACTGCCGGGTGGAGTGAAATTGCCT